TTCAAATGGACGTGAAAAGAGAGAAAACGGCGGAGACAATGCTTCCAGTGCCTTTCATGAAAAAGAAGTAAGTCGAGGCATTTGCATGTAAAGTTCGAGGTTTTTTTTCTGCTCTGTCCTTTCTGTTGTCGTGGCTCTGATAAACTACTCGACTAACGTGGAAGCAGTGTGGGGTTAGTGTTTTGGAAACAAGCAACCAGCTGAAAAGTGCTGGGAGATAAAACAAGTGAAAAAAAATCATCTCAGCCCTCATGGCCTGCTGAAGTAACAGTCTGACTTCCAACCGGTGTGAAGATCAATCACAAACAAACAGCCAGACTTGTTATTCTACGGGTCCCTGTGCCAGGATTGCTGCCCTTATCACTGGCATCGCATAATTTTGTCACACGTGGGAAAATATAGGACGGCTTCTGACAGCGGAGATCAGATAAAGAGTGAGAGCGCTTGGGCAGAAAAATGTGGAGATGGGGCTGAATGCCTGAGCAGACTGTTGTGTGAGGGAGAGAGAGACAGATGATTACTGCAGGCAGATTGAGGCACTGAAGAATGGCGGAGGCGCAGGATCCCGTCCCATGGAAATGTGTCATGAAGGCAGTTCCATTAACATCTTAATAAAGGCGTCTCTGGCCCTGGAGAGACCCTGCGCTCAGGCTGGCTTCTCCACTCACACGGGGGCCCAAAGCGGATCTGCAGCATGTCAACGAGAGAACATTTAGGTTCTGCCAGTATTACATTGTGAGGGTGTTAAGCTTCCCAAAGGAGTAGCCTAAATGCCTACCCACAAACATGCGCCACTAAATTCCTTTATTCCCCCGTCCCTCTACTTTCATTTACTGTCCATTTCTCCATCTGCTGGATTTAGTGGCCCTACAAAAGGCTTTGTTTCGGGCAAGCTGGCAACTCTTTGGGACGGCAGAGAGCACGCTGGGGTTCACTGCTAACTTGCTGCCATCAATGGAGAGAGCAGGGTCTGAACTGGGCAGCCTGGCAGAGGGACGATTGTGAACCGTTCCCCGCCCGTCTGATGAGACCAGCTGGAGACTGTTTGGAAACCTGCACACACACACACACACACACACACACACACAC